ATGACAGCCCCTTTCAAAGCTGGAGAAATTGGTGACTTGGAGAGCGTGCAGAGATCCTTTACTGCTAGAATCCACTCAGTAAAACATCTAAACTATTGGGACCGACTAAAATGCCAAAATTTATATTCTCTTCGTCTATCTTGAGATGATTTCAGGGTTTAGCGTCCCGGCGGCCCGGTCCTCGGCCAGGCCTCCTTTTTGTTACACATCCCCAAGAAGCAGCCCGTAGCAGCTGTCTAACTCCCAGGTACCTATTTACTGCTAGGTGAACAGCGACATCAGGGTGAAAGAAACGATGCCCATTTGTTTCTGAAGCGGAAACTCTCAGCCCACGACTCCGCTTGTGTACAGTCCTGCAACACCCGTGTGCTTGTGTGTACATTAGTTCACCTACACACCTGCTCCCTCACTGTCCGCCCTTATACACCCAGCAGTAATACATAATAATTTACACGTGGAAAATATTAGACGGGCTGGTCCCAAACTTGCATACAGAAATGACGCATGAGACCAGGAGACATGGCAGGATGTGCAGAATACCCCCGTTGAAGAGCAGAGGTGCAACAGGTACTCTGAGAGAGAACTTTCAACATCAGAGGCCCGAGACTGTTCAACACGCTTCCACTACACTAAGGGGCATAACTGGCCGACCCCTCACAGTGTTCAAGAGAGAACTATCAACATCAGAGGCCCGAGACTGTTCAACACGCTTCCACTACACTAAGGGGCATAACTGGCCGACCCCTCACAGTGTTCAAGAGAAAACTTGATAAGCCCCTACAAAGAATACCTGATCAACCAGGCTGTGACTCCTACGTCAGGCTGCGAGCAGCCGTGTCCAACAGCTTGGTCGACTAATCCAGCAACCAAGAGGCCTGGTCGAGGACCGGGCCGCGGAGACGTTGAGCCCCGAAATCCTCGCAAGGTAACCGCAAGGTAAGGAGTCTTAAGTAGTGGATGGAAGTGGCTTCCAGGACTTCTTTCAGTGCACTGCTCTGACTGACCAACTCTTCAGCTTAATTCTTTACGTTCAATTCAATCCATTTGTGTTTCCATCCTCCACCCATGACTTCTTGTTCAATTTTCTCCCAATTTAACGAGGCTGTTCTTGCCCACCTTTTCCATTCTTCTCAGTATTTTGAATGCAGTGATTGTATCCCCTCTACTTCTCACCTCGGGCGTTGACAGGCTGAATTGTCTTAACCTATCTCTGTAGCATAGTACATTCATCCTTATATTAGTTTTGTTGCAAACCCTTGTACATTTTAACGTTTCTATTTTATGAGATGCGGAATTCATTCCGGTGCTGCGTATTCTAGTACTGGTCTCATGTAGGTTGTTTAAATGCTCTTCAAAGCGTGATCGAGGCTACTACCATAGTAGTCCCGACGATGGTACGTCATGGTGTCAAGCCCTCAACACTCACTACACTACACACACACAAATCACAATAACGTGATATATCAAATAAACAAATCCCCAAGGGCCGTGATGAGGGCTCCCATCTGGGAACATCCCGTGCATAGGCTCGAACCCTCATCATGGCCCTTGTGGATTTGTTCTCCCACACTCACGACTGTCTTGAATGGCTTATAAAAGAGAGCACTGGCCGGAAAAAGCAGTTCAAATATTTTCAAGCTTCTATTTTCCTATGTATAAAGTGCGTTATTAGGTAACTGGGAGTTGATTCAAGAGGGTATTTACTGCGTGCTGTGGAGGGGACGAGGTGTAATCTTGCTTCTGGTATTGAAAGCATCACGCCTGTTGCAAATAAATAAATAAATAAATAAATAAATAAATAAATAAAAATAAATAAATAAAATTGATGTTTAAGCACGGTGTGGGTGAGCAGTCGCCAGGTTCGTCTTGTGGTCTCGCAAGCCAGACTACCCGGGTCTTAGACTGGGCGGGAGGACTGAGCTCGGCTCCTTCACTCTCCGCCCCTATAGTAGTAGTAGGCATCCTTCAGTCTCGGGAGACTATGGAGTTGCGCCCTAGTTGTCAATCCTGGTGCAGCGTCTGGTGTGACTGATGAGGCCAATCCGAGAGTGGCAGTCCATCCCACACCGAGCACAAACGAAGTCCGATTCTGGTCTGTCTTCCTGGTTACCGGCTTTCCTTCTCTGTCTCTTTGCCTCCGATTCCTTGGCAAGTGACTCCTCGAACTTGGAGAGACCTCGTTGAACAGACTGCCTCCAGGCTGAACGGTCTGTAGCCAGTGTCTCCCATATAGCAAGATCGACGTCCATGGCTTTCAGGTCCCTTTTGCATACGTCTTTGTACCGTAGCTGGGGCTTGCCTACTGGACGCTTTCCCTGCCTCAGCTCTCCATACAGGAGATCCTTGGGGATCCTGCCGTCGCCCATTCGCACAACGTGCCCGAGCCAGCGCATTCGTCTCTGTTTCAGCATTGTGTACATGCTGGTGATTCTTGCTCTCCCCAAGACGTTGTTGTTTGTCACCTTGTCCTGCCAGGTGATGTCCAAGATGTGTCGAAGGCAGCGCATGTGGTAGGCATTCAGCCGTCTTTCCTGACGGGCGCGGAGTGTCCAAGACTCACTGCCATAAAGGAGAGTGCTCAGGACACAGGCTCTGTAAACCTGAATCTTAGTATACTCAGTTAGCCTATTGTTGGCCCACACTCTCTTTGTCAGTTTGGACATGGTAGTAGATGCCTTACCGATGCGTTTGTTTAGCTCCGTATCAAGAGAGAGGGAGTCAGAGATTGTGGAGCCCAGGTACACGAAGTCGTGAACAACTTCCAGTTTGGAATCAGAGATGCCGATGTCAGGTGGGGAGTCCACTCCTTGTCCCATGACTTGTGTTTTCTTCAGACTGATGGTGAGTCCGAAAGCCTGAGAGGCCTCGCTGAAGCGGGTTATGAGCCGTTGGAGGTCTTCAGCTGAGTGGGCAGTGAGTGCTGCGTCGTCGGCAAAGAGGAAGTCGCGCAGATGCCAAGACAAAGGTTCCCCGCCCCTATACACTCAGCAGTATTGGGGGACTTGAATGTAAACTATTGCGGATCTGCTTCTAGGGTAAACAAGTAGACCAAGGCTTTCAAACCAGGTGTGGGAGAAAGTTCTTAGCCAGTAAACAAGTCAGAAAACTTCGACTGTAACCACTAAATGTAAACAATATAATTATTGTTAGACGTAACTGATGAGATATTTAACAAAGTAATGACATATAGAAATATTTTTCTTTAATAAGCAAATTGTAAAGATAATAATTGAACCAAGTCTATGGAGTAAGGAGAGAGAATCAGAATGTGGGTTGGTGTGATGGCCAGATGTGATCTGTCTTCCTTATATTCTTCCTCGACAGTCCTAGGCTTGCCCTCTCAACAACACTTGCACTCATATGCAGGCGATGAGTCACAATAACGTGGCTGACGTATGTTGACCAGACTACACACTAGAAATTGAAGGGACGACGACGTTTCGGTCCGTCCTGGACCATTCTCAAGTCGAAACGTCGTCGTCCCTTCAATTTCTAGTGTGTGGTCTGGTCAACTTGCACTCATACATTACTCTACACAACTTTACAAGTTTATATTTTGCAATAGTTTTGTCCGCCACTGACGTGTTATTCCGTGCAATGTTGTTACTTGCAGAGTTGTCGCGTGTCCACCTAACGCTGTCTTCTTCTTCTGACACATTCACACCTAATTATTTCCTAAAGTAACGAGGCTGGAGGACGGCGCTGGCGACCCACGACTCCGCTTGTGTACAGTCCTGCAACACCCGTGTACTTGTGTGTGTGTGTGTGTTAGTTCATCTCTACACACACCTTTATCCCACACTACACCTCTACTTACCCTACTGCACACTACACCTCTTCCTTGTCTCACAATATACCCTGAAAGTACTTTAGTCTCACATACACCTACATTAGTGACTTTAGGCACAGTATATAGTAACTAGAAATCCAACATTCTGCTTATAACTCATTTTGTATGTATGTACTTTTAACCAAAATAAAGTATTATTATTACTACACACCTTGCCTGCTTGCTCAACAGTGGCCCCTTCCATAAGGTGATCACCCCACTATATAACTTTATCAAATTTATTTACCCTACAGTATGCTTTAACTTTTGTGTGTGTGTGTGGTGCCGGAGACTAAATCTGGCCGCACCTTGGTGGTCTCCCACCACACATTACCCGGCCTTGTTCCTCCCTCAGTACACCTTCCTTCACCTGAGCAGCGTGCAGGAGAGCACACCACAACCACACACCTGCCTCGCTATGCCACAACATAACACTCTCAAATACGGTACTTTACTCTCCTCTCCTACACTGTGTAAAATACATTACGTTTATATCATTTCCACAACACGTCATGACTTACTTTCCTTCCTTAGCTAAACTGAGACAGTACTAGACCTGCTCCCCCTGTCAGTGTGTCAGTGCCAAGTGGCACAACTTCCCTGTCCTACTCGCAAGAGTGGCACTGTCTTCCTCCTGTCCTACTCACAAGAGTGGCACTGTCTTCCTCCTGTCCTACTCGCAAGAGTGGCACTGTCTTCCTCCTGTCCTACTCGCAAGAGTGGCACTGTCTTCCTCCTGTCCTACTCGCAAGAGTGGCACAACTTCCCTGTCCTACTCGCAAGAGTGGCACTGTCTTCCTCCTGTCCTACTCGCAAGAGTGGCACTGTCTTCCTCCTGTCCTACTCGCAAGAGTGGCACTGTCTTCCTCCTGTCCTACTCGCAAGAGTGGCACTGTCTTCCTCCTGTCCTACTCGCAAGAGTGGCACTGTCTTCCTCCTGTCCTACTCGCAAGAGTGGCACTGTCTTCCTCCTGTCCTACTCGCAAGTGGCACTGTCTTCCTCCTGTCCTACTCGCAAGAGTGGCACTGTCTTCCTCCTGTCCTACTCGCAAGAGTGGCACTGTCTTCCTCCTGTCCTACTCGCAAGAGTGGCACTGTCTTCCTCCGCGCGCCCTGCGGCACCACTTACACAGACTACAAGTATGACAATAACGTGTTTCTCCTTGACCTACAGTGTGCCACAACGGAGCGCGGGGCGTGGTGCTGTGCCTACTGGAGGTGGGCCGCCTGGCTCAGGGCTGGTGGGGCCTCGAGCCCCCCGGCATCATCAAGCTGGAGAGGGAGATGGACGGAGAGGAGTGGTCTGGCAGGTACGTGCACCTCACGCGTCACCTCCACCCTGGGGCCACCACCCACGGGATAGGCAGGCAAGTGCATGCTACCATCCACAACAGACAACTCGATTGCATATGAAGTAGGATGCACTATGGGTATGAACAAGAGAGATGCACAAGTGAAATGAGCAGGAGGGGAGTACACACGGGAGATGAGCAGCAGATATAATGCCATGAAATGGAGATGTATAGGAGGATACAGGAAGGTGAAGAGGGAAACAGAGGAACGAATGGAGTGGTAAGGTGCGTGTGGAAGACGTGTGTCAACACATTACAGCATGAGGAATAAGAGATAACCGGTAGAGACGAGGGAGGAAGATGGGTCAGGTTATCTTGAGGTTATCTTGAGATGATTTCGGGGCTTTTAGTGTCCCCGTGGCCCGGTCCTCGACCAGGCCTCCACCCCCAGGAAGCAGCCCGTGACAGATGACTAACACCCAGGTACCTATTTACTGCTAGGTAACAGGGGCATAGGGTGAAAGAAACTCTGCCCATTGTTTCTCGCCAGCGCCCAGGATCGAACACGGGACCACAAGTCCAGCGTGCTGTCCGCTCGGCCGACCGGCTCCCTATGGGTCAGAGAACTAGTGGAGATGGAGGGAACCGAGTGAGAGAGAACTGGTAGAGGTGAAGGAGAGAAAACTACTAGACAAAGGAGACTAAAGAGAGGTGTTAGAGGTTAAGAGAGAGAACCTCCAGTATGGGGTTTACCAGACACAAGGGGGGGGGGGGTTAAGGCAGCAGCAAATTGGGCGTGGCAGAGTAAGGGAGGACAGCGAACTATGGCCGAGAACAGTGGATCAGGGGTCAAAACTGTGTAGGGAAAAGAAGGGTGGATTAGGGGAAGAACAGTGGGTTACGGAAAGGGAGAGGTAGGGAGGAGAAAATGGTAGTAGAGTATGGAAGAGAATGAGGGAGAAGGTGCGGAGAATTATATATATAATGGCGGATGAGGGGGGGGGTGAGAGACCGGGACTTGTGTTGTGACCATGGTGTTGGGTGGACGTGGGTTGGGAGCTCCTGGTTCACTAGTGGAGTGGGAGGGGTAATCAGCCAACTTAGAAGTGGAAAAGTGTGTACAAGTGAATGAAAAACTTTGGGTTTTGACCAAAGCCATAAGGTAGTGAAGAAAAACAGTATAAGTAGTGTAATTGAAAATAGTTGATGAAGTACTGTGGCAGTGTGCAGTGTGGAGGAGACCTCACCGACCTCTGACCGTGACCTCACCCCCGGCAGCAACCCTCCTAACATCACGTGAAGACGCTTGGAGGGTCACTCACCTATTGTGTTAGCAGGTCGGTAAGGTACTTAGAACCCCTGTGGGTAAGGTTGGATTATAGCAATGACTAGGTCAGGAAGGGCGTCTAGGTCCAGCAGTATTATGATGGAAGAAGAAGATAGGTTTGTGGAGAAGATGATTGGGAAATTTGTAGAGAAGAGGGATGTTTGGATAGATGATTTAATCAAGGGGATTGTAATGGTTCTATTGTTACGTAAAGTATGGTGACAATAAACACAAACACTAAGATAATCTGTATATTCGACCAAATATATATATATAAGTATGCAGATGATACTTTGGTGTGAGTTGAGCGCACTGAGCGTCGGTACAGTATCTCGCAAGTGTCTGTTCTAAACCACACTTGAAAGTAGACTAGTTATTATTCGCCACTCTGCTGCTTATATGCTCGCACAACACCTCACCATTCTCCAAAGGTTGACAGGAATAGTATGTGGAAGTTAGGAAAGGTTTGAGTTCCATAATTAGTACCAAGAAGAGCTTTGCTTCTCTCATTAGGCTAATGCGTTTGGAGCGAGTATATTATTGGGATAATCTACTCGCTACAGGATCAAGAGCAAAATCTTTAATAAGATACAGAACGAGGTTCAAAGACTCAAACAAGAGTTTATGGATTATATTCAAGAGGAAATCAGGAAGAGCAAGGTAGAATGGCAAGGAGAAATAACTAGGCTTACAAATGAATTTGGCAGGAATAAGGGAAGCTTGGCAGGGGAAGGGGGAGTAGTAGTGGACGGAGAAGCAAGTGTGGGAGAGGTGGGGGTCAGCCAGAAAGGGGGGGGGGGGCGACCAGTATGACCCTGAACTGAGAAAGAGGTCAATCATAATCCATGGATTGCTTGAAGCCAAGGCGCCATCGAGGCAGGAAAGGATGGAGATTGAAGATTTGGAGCTACAGGGGATCTTGAGAGACATGAGAGCCCATATGGCAGGGAATGAGGTGCAAGTCCACCAACGCATTGGGCCATACAACTGTGACAAGAAACGACCTGTCCTGGTACAGTTCACTAATGAAGAGGCAGTGGATTACATACTGCATCACAAACACTTACTCAGAGGTAGCGAAAATTACTACTACGTATATATTGACAAATTAATGACGAAAGAGGAACAGATAGCCCACAGAGCGAGCAAACCTCCACGATACAACTCTTCCCATTTGAGCGTAGTTACACACCCCAGTGCTAATCCACCCCATGCTAACCAGCTCACACCTGCTTCTCAGGTCACTCCCTCCCCAAATCAGCCCTCCCTGCCCCTGCTAATCTCCCCAACATCTCCCTTGACCCCTCTGACCCCACTGCATTCAAATTCATCCCACATTCCAACATTCCAAGGACCCCCTCATCACCTCAACCCCTAAAACTCGCCCAGCCCTCACCCCTCCTCAGCCCCTCTCCTCCCATGTGACCCCCCACCCTTGCGAGGGGGGGTGAGAGGTTCCCCCACCCCCCCTCTATCCTCCCCCCCCCAACCAGTCAACCTCTATCTGACTCCCAACCTTACGCTATCTCCCAACCCCCTCTATGCCTATCAGACCCTCCCTAATCTTCAGACCCAGTATGCCCTTCCTACTCCAGACCTACCTACCCAGGCCCTACCCCAGACCTTCCTACCTACCTTCCTAGATGCCCAGCCCCCATTAGCTCCCCAAGCACCCCTCCCGACCCCTTTCAACCCCCGGATCCCCCCAGACACCCCCCGGATCCCCCCGCCCCCAGTCATCCCCCAGACACCCCAGGTCCCCCCCCCCCCCCCCAGCCCCCAGTCATCCCCCAGGTCTCCCCCACCCCCAGTCACCCCCCAGATCCCCAGAGAAAGGGCAAACTCTGGTGCAAGAGTTTCAATGAAGAATCTCAAGGTTTGGTACACCAATGCTGATGGGGTATCTAATAAAGCAGAAGAGATAAAAGAGTGAGTGAGGCAGATCCTGACATAGTTGCAATTGTGGAAACTAAAATTAATGACATGATCTGAGATGCAATCTTTCCAGAGGGCTACCAGGTGATATGAAAAGAGAGGACACAGAGACAGGGAGGGGGAGTGGCACTCCTAATAAAGGGGAAATGGAAGTTTGAAGACCTGGGAAATCCGGTTATCAATGAGTGCACAAGCTTCATACATGGAACTGTAGATGGGAGGAAGATTGTGATCTTGGTAATCTACAATCCCCCACCAAACAGTGGGAGACCCAGGCAGGAGTATGATGACAACAAGGCATGCATAGATGAACTGCAGAAGGCAGCAACACTAGCCCACAGAATGAGAGTGAAGCTGCTGATCATGGGGGACCTAAATCATGGAGAGATAAATTGGGAATCAAGGAATCCCCATGGAGGGGAAGAAACGTGGGGAGTAAAGTTAGTAGATGTTATGAACAGGAATTTCCTAACACAACATGTGAATGAAGACACAAGGGAAAGAGGAGGAGATGCACCGAGCCTATTAGACCTGATTTTCACCCAGAACGTAGAAGATATCGAGAATTTGCAGCATGAAACACCTCTAGGGGCCAGTGACTATTGTGTCCTAGTCTTTAACTACATGATGGAATTCAAACTTATGACCATGGGACAAGAGATCTGGGAAAGGAGAGTTCACTACAGGAAAGGGGACTAAAAGAGGATAAGGGACTATCTGGGTGAAGTGCAGTGGGAGGAAGAAATTAAAGGAAAATCAGTCCAAGATATGATGGACCTAGTCATACAGAAATGCCAGGAGGTCGAAGAGAGATTTATACCAACAGTAAAAGGAAAAAATAAGAAGGAATATAATAACCCATGGTTTAATAGACAGTGTCAGGAAGCAAAAATGGCCAGCAGGCGGGAGTGGAGGAAGTACAGAAGACAAAGAACAGAGGACAACAGAAGCAGATACAACAGAGCTAGGAACGATTACATTAACATAAGACGAACATCGGAAATGGACTATGAGAACGATATTGCAATCAAAGCGAAAAAACAACCTAAGTTACTACACAGCCATATAAGAAGAAAAATGTCGGAGAACGACCAAGTGACAAGACTAAGGAAAATAGAAGGGGCATATACTGAAAGTGACAAGGAAATCTGCGAGGCACTGAATGCCAGTTTCCATGGAGTGTTCACTACCGAGCCTGAGCAGCTCCCATTGTTGGAAGGGTTTACCCTAGATGAAAGTATCAGATATAGAGGTGACAGCAGGGGAGGTAATGAAACAGTTGACAACACTAGATGCAACTAAAGCAGTTGGACCAGACAAAGTATCACCGTGGATACTAAAAGAGGCAGCACAGGCCCTCAGCATGCCTCTGGCAATGATCTTTAATGAGTCACTTATGTCGGGAGAATTGCCCAGCTGCTGGAAGAAGGCAAATGTCGTACCGATCTTCAAGAAAGGTGATAGGGAGGAGGCACTTAACTATAGACCTGTATCACTGACAAGAATCCCCTGTAAAATACTGGAAAGAATAATTAGGCTACGACTGGTTGCACACCTGGAGAACGTTAGGTTTGTGAACAAACATCAACATGAGTTCTGGAAAGGGAAAGCGTGCCTAACAAACCTTCTGGAATTCTATGATAAAATAACGAGGATAAGACAGGACAGAGATGGTTGGGCGGACTGCATATTTCTGGACTGCCAAAAAGCCTTTGATACAGTACCGCACCTGAGACTGCTGTTCAAACTCGAGAGG